TAGATTTTTGTATATTTGTTCCTGATCTTTTTTTTTTTTATTAACATTGAGTGTAGGTATTAGCATGATCTATGTCTACCTATGGGATGAAGCTGTGGCGAGCCATGATTTAGTCAACATCCTAAAAAGGGGCATTATATGGAGGGAGAGAGAGGGGGTCATTGTGCCTTGTAACATAAACATCAGTACACTGACCTTTTTCTTTTGTGCTGACAATTATTAATTCTTAAGGATTCTTTTTTTTAAAAAGAAAGTGAGAGGAGTGAAGAAAATGGACGCTTGAGTGAGAACACAAGAATTGAGTATTAATTTTTGTCATAGAAATTAATCAAAATTGGAATGCCATCAGTACTGCGATTGTCCTTGTGTGCTGTATGGTAAATAATGCAAGAGGAAAAGAAAATAATGAATTGTCTCCCTTGATTTGATCACTCTTTAGCTGTATTTTAAGCTCCCATTGCTTTAACTGTTTTCACATTATGATATACCCAGCTTAGGAGATATAATGACCCAGCATTCTACTTGTATTTTGCGATATTTGTATTTTTTTTTATTCTTCTGACTGATAAAAGACAGACTGTATGTCTGAGTATTTTCAGCTATACTTTCAGCCATTATCAAGGATGATTTTATTTTTACTTTTAAATGAATGTATGGATTTTTTTTTTTTATGTAAGTATAAAGAGTTATAGGAATGTATGTACAGAGTTCATGTAGATATGAATGTGTGTGTGTGTATGTATGTATGTATGTATGTATGTATATATATATATATATATTATGAAATGGACAAAGTCTGACAATTATTTAAAGACATTTTTATGTTTAACATTCTTTTTATAGATACAAGTATTTAAGTAAATACTCTGTTTATAATGAATTCGACCTCTCCAACCGAACAATCCTTTGTGACCAAGCAGTAAGGCACGTCAGACTATATGACAGTTCCGTATAGGATACAGGTTCGAATCCTGTCAAAGGACGAATATTTTCTATGAAAATTTATCACATATTCAGGCCGGTAAATGTTATTTAATACTGTTTATTATAAACAGAGCATTTACTTAAATACTTGTATCTATAAAAAGAATGTTAAACATAAAAATGTCTTAAAATATATATATATATATATATATATGAGAGAGTTATATGATAATGGCTAAAAGTATAGTCAAAAGTGAACAGACATAGAGATCATTCAGACTATTTCTACATCATTTATGTCTAGAAAAGGATCAAATAAAAACCTAACTTCAATACCTTGTCAGTCATTTTTAATGAAACTTATATAAAAGAGGAATTGTTGCTCAAATACACAATTTTAATTTAGTTTTTCCAGCCTTCTTATATTTTTCCATTTGGTGGGACTGAAGGAATACAAAAACTGTCCATACCGTCCGTTGTCCCAAGTACTTTCAGCCATTTTCAAGGGGGTTTTGTTTTGGTGTTGTCAGTTTCTTTTCATGATTTGATTGTTCGAGATGTATTTTTTTTATATTGTTTTGAATACTAATAGGAGCGTTTATTCTGAGCCTTTGATTGTTATGCACAGCTGGAATTCAAGTAAGCATCTTTCTATCTTTTTTAAAATAACTTTCAGCACACCTCACCCATTATTAAACAAAGTGAGGTTGATAGTGGAGAGAGATTTTTAATATACAAGGCCTCTCTTGTAGCAAGAAGTTTTCAGCAATTTGATTTGACTTCGACCAGAATTTTTCTTAAGAGCTCGTGTCCATCATATTTAACAAAAGATGTTTAAAAGAAAGGTTGCTGCTCAAATATACATTAATGATATATATATATATATATATATATATATATATATATATATATATAAGAAGAAGAAGAAAGAATAATAAGATTTATAATCTGGTGTTCTTAGCAATTATTTTTATTTTTAAAAAAACAGTGCTTGATACAAACAGTAGAGCATAATATTATAATTATTTTCTTTTTTAGAAATATGATTCCTTCGCAATACAGAAATTTCTATGTTTCAAAACTGAAACTAAAATTGTAAATTTAATTTTAAAAATCCAGAGTTTCATTCCATTGTCAAGCGATGCTAGGAATAACTTTCTAAGAAATTTAATTAATTTATAAGTGCAGATAATCTTAATATTTTGAGTTGTTAAGGTTGAGGAAAATTCTATCTATTTTGATTAGGGGTGGTTGAGTTTTAATTTCCTTAGACAACTTATGTATCAAATATATGTTACTTACAAAGTCAGGTTAAGTTTGGGTGGGGTGGGAGTGCCTGCTCACAATTTTAGTTTCAATTTTGAAACATGGAAATTTCTGTGTCATGATGGAATCATATTTTTTATAATGTATGTGTGTATATATATATATATATATATATATATATATATATATATATAATCAATTCACCCCAAGCAAGATAATGAAAAAATTTTAGAAGGAACCAGAAACCCAATCTTAAACAAGAAACAAGGGATAAAACTCTACACCGTTGTGCAAATTAATTGAAACAACCCCTTTAGTTTCCTTTCTTTCACCATACGATCAGTTTTAGACCCACTGGAGTGACAGAGTGAAATCAATTTCTATTTTTTCCTCTGATTAGGTCATTTGAAGTGGTGTGCAGTAATATGAATTTATTTTCATTTATAGTTTCTGTGATGTACTCATGAGGTATTTACAAAAGCATTTATATACACCTTTGTGCACATTAATTGAAACAACCCCTTTAGTTTCCTTTCTTTCACCATATGATCAGTTTTAGACCCACTGGAGTGACAGAGTGAAATCAATTTTTATTTTTTCCTCTGATTAGGTCATTTGAAGTGCTTTGCAGTAATATGAATCTATTTTCGTTTATATTATTGTTTTTAAAGGTTATTTTTCTTTTCTTTTTCATTTTTTTTTTTTATCAATTCACCCCAAGCAAGGTGATAATGCCACTAAGACACAAGGGGAACACTGGGAGTGAAAGAGAATGAAAAGACTTTAGAAGAAACTGGAAACCCAATCAGTAAATAAATCGTAAATCTAAACCCTTGTTCAAAAAATATAAAATCTCATAAAAAATAATTAAATTATTTATATATAGATTAGTACTTCAGTTATATTAAAGTCACTTGGATCTAAATATGTCCATACACGGGATTTTTTTCTTATTTTCATGAAGCATTTGTCAAATTAACTAGATTTTGATAGTAATTATTACGTAGATATTTTATTTTTTTTAAGCATTTTACATTTTTGTTGTTAATGTACTTTTTAAAACTATGAGTGCATAAAATTAAGAAGGAAAAATCCCCATGAGAGCAATCGCCTACCAGAGGGCAAAGAAAAAACCCATGTATACTTGGGTCTGAGTGACTTTAATATAACTGAAGTACCAATCCATATTGGCTCTGGGCTAAAGAAAAGACCAAGGCAAGTTTTAATGAGCCTATGGAAAAGGGAGTGGCTTTGTTTGGTTACAAAAAGGAAATATTAGTTACATTTTAAAATTTAAATTGAAGTTTTTGTTTACTTAGTGTTTAGTAACAACAAATTCCTTTTACTATGTTGTAATTGTTATGGATTAGTTTTGTGCAATGTATTGCTTTTCATGGGAAACTTTAGTTGCATCCCTTGGACACACAGGTGGGAAAGTTAACCTTGCAGATAACTGACTGAACAATGTCAATAGTGTAAATAGTTACAATACCTCATCTCAGAAATATAGACAGATCCTGAAGAAGGTTGTAGTGTACAGTGGCCAAAACATGAATATGGCAATAATGATGAGGACAACAGTTCAAATAATGTAAATAGTGAAATACCTTATCTCAGAAATATATACAGATCAAGGTCTCATCATTTTAACAGATGAATTGGCTATATGCAACCGTAAGTTCTATGCTAATAGTTTCTTTTATCACACTTCTCGCTTGTGGAACTCCCTTCTGCCTTCTTGCATCCCAGTCAACTTTGATCTTCAAAAATTTAAATGCAATGTCAATCGTTATCTTCTGTCTTCTTAATTCCAGTTCTTTTATTGTCCTCTCTAATTAATAGTAGTTTTCTCATATTCTCTAACACTTAGTAACCCCTTGCATCCTAGTGGCTTTTATTGCCTTTGATCTTCAAAATTTAAATGCAATGTCAATCGTTATCTTCTGTCTTCTTAATTCCAGTTCTTTTATTGTCCTCTCTCATTAATAGTAGTTTTTCTCATATTCTCTAACACTTAGTAGCCCCTTACATCCTAGTGGCTTTATTGCCTTTGATCTTCAAAAATTTAAATGCAATGTCAATCGTTATCTTCTGTTTTCTTAATTCCAGTTCTTTTATTGTCCTCTCTCATTAATAGTAGTTTTTCTCATATTCTCTAACACTTAGTAACCCCTTGCATCCTAGTGGCTTTATTGCCTTTGATCTTCAAAAATTTAAATGCAACGTCAGTCGTTATCTTCTGTCTTCTTAATTCTTCTTCAGGTGAATATGATATATGATTCTATATATCAGAACAATTTTAGTCAAATGAAGAACAAAGTTGAAAACATTTTGTTTAACGTGTCTCACCTGCTAAAATGACCACATCAGACTATAGTAATGTTTTTATTGATGGAATTGTATAAATGTGGGACAGTGAGATATAAAAATCGCGAGTATCAGTTACAATTAGATACTGAGAAGAAATCCCGAAGATGTTGGAACGCAATTTTTAAATACATGAATATGATACTTACAATGATGGGGTATTTGTATTTTCAAGCAAGGTGAGTCTGCTGAGCAATGTTTGACATCTTTATTATTGTTTAGTTTTTCTTATTCACAACTTTTTGATGTTATTTGAAAGATGTCTGGCTGCTACCATGTCTAAAACTCTGACTGGTTTTCTAATGTGTCAAGAATGGTAATTCACCTGGGTCCTCTTACCACAAGAGGAAGGGTTTTATATAAATCCCTACAGAGTTTTCCTCATTCTGAGAATGATTGCATATGCTAAAAATAATCATATCACCTTCCTTTTGAAACTTCAGAAGCCAGTTCCATGATGACACAGGCGGAATAAAAGAGGTCGGTCTTATCCAAGAATTGGCAGCAAATCTAATTTCCCAATTGGAGGTAAGTAATTCTGGCACTACTTAAATATACAGGTCCACTCGTAAAGTGTGTGTGTGGGGGGGGTCGCATCAGCATTCATTAAACCTTCCTCAAGTCACAACTTCTTCTTTCATGTGCTATGCCACTTCACAGTGTTGACGATCATGGATCTCCACAATTTCCTATCTTTTGCAGCTCTTAGTAAATATTTTTTTTTTATCTCTCCTAAACCCTGTTCTGCCATCTGTTTGTACAAGCATGATGGATAGGTTTTGCACTGTTTTCCACTGTCTCTCTTGCCTTCAATATGTCCTTGTAGTGGACACATTCTGTCACCCCACACCCCTTCTCGGCATAAGCAACTTAAGACCGCCTGTGCTTTGCATCGGAGACTCAATCTGCGATGCTATAAATGCCAGCATTTGTTTACACCAGGGTGTTGCTTGAAGTGGCACCACTTGTTCAACAGGAGCAAAGGAAAAGAATTACAATGACTCAGACACAGTCCTTTGAGTACCAAATTTTCCAAGTCCTCTTTTCTCATTATGTATGTTAGAAATTTAAACTATTTCTGATGTTAAGTATTTTGTCAGAATTGAAAATATTGAGTTTTTTTTTTTTTTTTTTTTTTTAATTTGGGGGTGAAGAGAGGACTTGTTTAGTAAAATATTTTGATTCTTAAATTTTTTTTTTTTTTTTTATTGTTGACTATATCTTCTCATATGCCTATAGTTAATATCCTGTATTTAGTATCATTATTACTATTTTATAAAATTTCTTATATGCTTTTATGCATATAAGAAAATTATGATTTAATATATATAAAATTTATCTGTTTATTCTATTTAATTAAATCTATCATTATTTTTGGAACTTTTATTATCCTTTTATTCTATCTGATCCTTGGTATTTTATCCTAAAATTTATCTATTTAATTTGGTTGTTTAATCTAAGTTGTGATTTGTTTTATCTATTTGGAAATTTTCCCCTTCTATTGTCAAAATTTTATTTTGGACTTTATTTACTTTTTTTTTATTATTATTATTATTATTATTATTATTATTATTATCATTGTCATCTTCTTCTTCAGCAGCACAAAAAATTCCAACAATTTTGTTTATTATTATATTAAATTCCTTTTTATAATATTGAATTTAAATATAATCCTTAATCAAATATTAAAATCATTCATATAAATATAATATAAATAATATAATTATATAATATATTAAGATTTATTATAATTATTAGGATTTAAAATTGATAAAAAATTAAATTTCCTTACCTGTTTTTACTATATAATTAAATATATAGTATTGAATGGATTAATATTGATTTACTTAATATTAAAGTGTTAAGATTACATTAGACTAAATATATAAGTAATGTAATTAAATTAATATTTACAATTTGGTAGGTAGATTTATCTTTATAATAAATTTTCCTAATAATAATTTGATATGAATATATAATAATTTATTTTAAGACATTTTTATGTTTATACATTCTTTTTATAGATAACAAATATTTAAGTAAATGCTCTGTTTATAATAAACAGTATTAAACAACATTTATCAGCCTGAATGTCTGAGAAATTTTCACAGAAAATATTCATCCTCCAACAGGATTCAAACCAGTATCCTATACGGAACCGTCATTTAGCTTGACGTGCCTTTACCGATTTGGCCACGAAGGAGCGTTCGGTTAGCAAGGTCGAATTTACTGTATTTGGACTTCAATTTTCCATGAATCTCTCACGTACATTCATGTCTGCTTATGGCGTATCAAATGTAAACAAATGACGTCACACATTATGAAATGGACAAAGTCCGACAATTATTTTAAGACATTTTTATGTTTATACATTCTTTTTATAGATACAAATATTTAAGTAAATGCTCTGTTTATGATGTGTTATTAGTATTAAAATTTTTTTATACAATAATTATATAATAGCATTAATTTTAAATCCATATTTTTTTCCCTTTATCTCTATTTTTTGAACTCCTCTTTTTCTTAACTTTTATGTTTGCTTTTCTTATGTAAATTTATTTAATTAGAATTTTTTTCTCATTTGTACAAGAATTAATATGTCAGATTTAGGTCTTTGATCATCTTCAACAATCTTTTTTTTTTCTGTCTAGACTTTTCACTAAAACCCTAACGACCTTAGTTTCTTTGTCTCTCTATAAATCCCATTTCCCTTATATATTGTTTGTTCCTCTTCTTTCTTCTTTTTCCTCCTTTTTTTTCTTTCCTTCCTTACTTAATTTCTATTTATAAAATTTTTAAAAAAAAAAAAAAAAAACCTTAGAATTCATTTCTTTCACAAATGTATTTGCATTGACAAGTCCCAGAGAGAATCTCCCGGGGACAAAATGACCATCTGAATGGGGTAATTTGGGTTTCATTTTTGTAATTCACACACACACACACACACATAGATGTAGAAATGAACTAAATAAAGAGATATGATCAACCGTATGTGTGAGCAATTATGTACACATACAAGTAAGTAAATAACTATTTATTTAATCAGTGGTGTAGACAAAACAGTGCTCAATGTAGTTAAACAGAGCTATAAAGTATATATTTATAATTACACAAATTGGGATCTCATCATTAAAAGCACACCTTTTACCTTCAACAAAGAAAAATGTACTCTGTGCCTCTTAGAAAAACAAACTATTCTCAAATATGTCGATAATCTTAAACTGCTGAACAAGCATAGTGAGCTAATGTCCAGATGCATTCATAGAAGGAGCTTTCTTATCGAATATTTCTATGCTGGTTAAAGCAATTAACCTAACACCTGCTTTAATACCCCTAATGGTCTGTCTCTAATATTATTTTTTTTATATTCAGTTACCTCCCTTGAATCATCCTAATGTTTAACAGATTTTATAACTTTGTTCCTTTATTCATTTTTTAATAATTTGTTTTATTATTTTTTATTAATGTTTTTATTTTTCCTTACCTTAGATCCTTTTTTGCCTACTAACACTTTTTATTTGGTAACTACCAGCTTTTTTGTTCATATTACAATAATCTTACTCAGTATACATTAACGGATCAATAATTGATCAATATCACTATTAAATTTACTCTTAATACCTTAGTTTATTTTTTGATATCTACCTACCAACATTTTATATTTTGAATTTATACCACAGCATGATATATCTTTATCTATAAAAGGCAGGGTGTGTGTGTGTGTAATAAATGCACGGCCGCAATTTTCGACGAATTTGCACCAAAATTTACATGCATATGCTCCAAGTTAGTGAGAAGGCCAAGACCAACTTTGTATTTCCCAACTCCCATTGATAGTGGAAATAATCAATTTTTTTCATGCTTCTACGGCAGTTTTTCATGTAGCTTATACTGGCCAGAGTGAGAGCCTATAGAGGGCTGCCACGAATAGGCAGGAAGATTCTATTGGTCAGCGTGAGAGCCGACAGCTGACTGACATGAATGTTAACTAGCATGCAAAAAAAAATCGATAGCTGCATTCCTCACAAGTGGGAAAAATTTAAATCTGCATGGTACTTTACTCCAATTGGCTCATTCGCTTGCTTAAACTCAACGTTGATTCTGATTCCATGAGAACTGGGTTGGGTGTGAAAAAGTATTTGTTGTTAACATTCTTTTTCATTCGGTTTTTCCAGTTCTGAGTCCTTTTTTTAAAGCTGATCGTTTTGTGTTCATTTTGTTTAGTTCTTTTTTTCGTAACAGATTTAATGTTTAGCATAGAGCTTAGAAAAAATTTGCAGTGTGAGATAGGCAAGAAGTAAGGCATGTAGCAACATCAGCACGGCAAAGGGCACTCCTTTGAAGGCAAGGAAGGGCAAAAATATTTTAAGTCAAGTGATAGCGATTGTTGTATGAGTTGTACGATTTTTGAATCAATCCCGGGCAACGCCAGGCCATGCTGCTAGTTTATAATAATCTTGAACTTTGAATCCACACACAACGTAGCATTGCTCCCATGGCTAAAGCAGGTATTCCCAGCCTTTGTTATCCTATTGCCCTCCTTTTTTCACTATTTTTCAAGGTAATCTCTCATGCCCATTTGTAAAAATATAAATTAAAATATTTTACTTAAATTACTTTTTAATGTTTTCCTTGGGGTTGATTCTTTGCTGTTAGAACTATTTAATATTTGGTTTGAAATTTGTAAGTTTTTAGTCTTGTGTCACCTCGAGTACATATATCAATTTTCTTTCTTTCTTTGGTCAAGATTTCAGTGGGAAGTTGAAGCCTCTTGAAAAATATAACCCAGAAACAATATTTTCAACTCAAAGTTATTGTCCCTTACACTTGATCTAAATATTAATATTATCATTGTGACTCTACCAACAAACCTCAGATAACATCCACTTCGCACAATTCCCGTTCAAACACTGCAGTGTAATGCACAAGTCAGTGAGTGATAGCAGACAACACTTGCTACCAGATAGTGAACAAAATGTTTCAAAATCATTAATTCAGTTGAAACATTTAGAGACGTGTAACCGTTTTATGAAAAAAGTATTTCTGTCAGACGTAGTATGACGGGCTGTCATTAAAAATAATTCATTTCATCCTTAAAGGGTTAAAGACTTCATTTCGGAAGCAGATGGGAAAGCATAAACATGTAATTCTTTTACAAATGTTTATTTTAAAAGAAAAAACATGAAAATTTATTCCTTACTAGCCATATATTTACGAGGTTTTATTAATTTATTTTCCATTAAAACTACATAAAAAGAAAAAAATTTTGTTTATTAAAAAAATTTATGAATGTTTCCACCCCCTATGAAAGAAAAACACCCTCCCTCCTCATATATTTACGAGGTTTTATTAATTTATTTCATCCTTAAAGGGGGTTAAAAACTTAATTTCATAAACTGATGAGAAAGCATAAATTTAGAAATGTTTATTAAACCATGAACTTATTTACAAATGTTTCCACTTATTATGAAAGAAAAGAACTTGTTAGTGAATATTACCCCTGGTGAGAATGCCTCGTCTAAAGCATCCATGTAGTCTGCATCTATTGTCATCTTCTCTGGATCCTTTCTGCTCTAACTAGTGACATTCCATCATCACTGATTAAACCCAGAACTCTCGCTAATTGCAATGAACAGATATTCCCTCAGGAAGATCCTGTGCCTTGGGCATCTATTAAACTCAACCCTAAACCTCAAATGGAACTCTTATATACAATTCATCACTGGAAAAAATGCTTGGTTCTCTGTACCGATCCATTAAGTACCTGACTTCTCCTGCTATATTCTCTACATTTACAAGAGCCTGATGAAGCCGAAAATGGTGTACTGCTGACATATATGGGCTGGAGTTGCACAGTTCTCACTTTCCAGTCGGAAAGCGTCTTCGCGTTCTTGTATGTGATATATATCAGGTCATCCCATAAGTTCTGTCCAAATTTTAACTTTGTGTTAAAATGAACAAAATTTAAAGAGTATTTTATAATGTCTAATGGAGCTGAACATTATTTTTATGTTTAGATGAATTTAAACTGATCAAATTTTATTTCAGAGAACAATAAAATTAAATTTTGTTTGATTAAAACCCTGCCAACATGGAAGTAGCCAAGAATCATTTGAGGCACATAATGCTTTATGAGTTCAAGAAAGGAAACTCAGCAGCCGAAGCGGCTAGAAACATTCACTCAGTTTATGGAGAGGAATGTGTGAATGAAAGAACTTGCAGAAGATGGTTTGCAAAATTCAGAGGTGGAGATTTCACCCTTGAAGATGAAGATCGAACCGGACGTCCAGTTGAGTTTGATGAAAAGCTTCATGAAACAGCCCTTGAAGAAAATCATGCTTTATCAGTTGAGGTTTTGGCAGTGGTTCTCAGTTCAAACCATACAACTGTTCATCGTCATCTTCAACAACTTGGAAAAGTTCCTAAACTTGGAAAATGGGTGCCTCATGAATTGTCTGAAAACAACCTCAAATCCCGAGTTGATATCTGTTCTTCTCTCTATTCTCACCAACTTGTTTCACCTTTTTTGGATAGACTTGTGACTGGCAACGAAAAATGGATCTTTTATCGAAATGTTAAGCGTCGTAGACAGTGCCTTGGTAAAGGGGATGGACCCCAGCCACAGCTGAGAAGGGAACTTCATGGGCAAAAGGTTCTTCTTTCAATCTGGTGGGATCACCAAGGAATAATCCACTTTGAATTCTTACCACCTAATGCAACAATTAATGCTCAAATATACTGTCAGCAATTAGAGCGTTTGAACCAAAAAAGGATCTGCTCTAGTGAATCAAAAAGAGGTGATGTTTCATCAGGACAGTGCGCGAATCCACACAGCAAGAATCACGTCACAAAAGATTGGTTGGGAGAAAATTCCTCATCCACCTTATTCTCTCGATCTTGCTCCTTCAGACTACCATTTGTTTCGTAGCTTACAGAATCATTTGGAAGAAACAGTTTTTGTAACACAGGAAGAGGTTAAAACTGACATTTGTGAGTTCTTGAATCAAAGCCAAAAGAATTTTATAGTAATGGAATTAGTAAGCTTGTTAATAGATGGAAGGAAGTCATAGATAATCAGGGAAAATACATTGTTGATTGAATCTGTAATTAAATATAACATTTGGTCACTTGTTTTCTTTATTCAAAATTCGGACAGAACTTATGGGATGACCTGATATTTGCCACCCTACAATCCCCTTTTCTCACAGACAAGACATGTCAAGCCTCTCACTTCCCTATTGCTACTTCCATTGAAAGTGTTTTGACAAACTACACTCCTTCGCTCCACCAATTCTAACTGTAATGAGTTGGTCGGTCAACTTGACACCCCCAAAGCGAGTGGAGGTGGCCAGGCTCAGAAACTGTGATTGGTAGCTGACTTGTTGGTGTTTTGTATGGGCAAGTTACCAAGCTCTACATAAAGGGCTTGAATGAGAAGAAGGGCAGTTCGTCTCCGAAGTGGAGACTGTGCCTGTCGCTACGACTGTCGGAAAGAGAGACAAAATTTTTTTTTATTTTTTTTTTGTGACACATTTCAACAGACTAACCTTCAACGCTCAAAGACACACAATGTCCCCCTCACATTGTAGCAAACCACCTTCATTCCTTTTATATTCAATTTGTGAGATGTAAGTTACACTTGAGCAGCTACAAGCTTTTGACTTCCATGAGGATGCTTTCCCTGATCACTATAATCTTAACACGTTCACGCCTATGGTCATCTGTTATCTTCTCCACATATCTCCATAAACTGTACTGGACAGTGTGTAGTTGGACACAGAGGAAATGGGTCAGGCAATAACTGAGGGGTATTAGCACCAGTCAGGATGAACGGATCCTCCCTCAGGGAAGCACCGTACCTTGAAAGACTGTTGGGCCTTAAGCTCACAACTGACCTCCAAGTTGAATTAGTACATACGATCCATTTCTAAGGATGCAGGTAAAATGGTCGGCTCCTTGTAATTATTTGACTCCTCCTGCTCTTCTCTGCCTTTACAAGAACCAGATCAGACCGAAAATGGGGTACTGCTTTAATATATGGGCAGAAGCTGCACAGTCCAAATGCATTTCCTTGTTACTAAGTATAAGTATACACTTACACACTTATTACACTTAAGTATACACTCAGATCATTTGTAAACATCTATGCCAGTGATATGACTGTATATGTGTGCACCTCTAAAACTCTCAATGGTCAGAGTTTGGCGACTGATCTCTCTTCCAATCTTGCTCAAACTACCCAATGGGTTTAAAAACTGGCTGGTTACATTCAATGCCTTGAAGACCAAGCTAGTTAGATTCTATCATCACCAATCGGGCCCCGAACTACCACCAATCAGGATAAACGCTGATCATGTTGGGGAAGCACCGTGAGTTGAAAGACTATTGGGCCTCAAACTCACACCCGACCTCAAGTGGAACTCGTATATGCAATCCATTGGTAAGGATGCAGATTAAATGGTCAGCTCCCTGTAGCGCTCCAGTAAGTACCTGACTCCTCTTGATATATCCTCTACCTTTACAAGAACCAGGTCAGGCCGAAAATGGAATACTGCTGTAATATATGGGCTGAAGCTGCACATTCCAAATGCATTTCCACATCCTTGTTATTTGCAACCATACAACATCCTTTCTCACAGACAAGATGTGGCAAGACTCTCACTGCCCTATTGCTACTTACATGGAAAGTGCTCAGACAAACTACACCCCTTAGTTCCACCAGTTCACAGCTAGGACCCGCCAGTCCATGCAAACTACCTTCATTTCCTTATTATTTCATTGAGGAGATGCAAATTCAACTCGGGCAGTTTCTTCCAACAACCTACTGCTCTGTAGAACCAACTCCCAAGATGATGCTTCCCTGATCACTACAATCTTAACCTGTTCCAGTCTTGGGTTAACTGTTATCTTCCTCACGTAATCGCATAAACTGTAGCTCTTACTCTGTAACCCTTTCCATTGAGTGGCTCCTGGGCCTTATACAGGGTGAACATCATTGTAAAAAGAACAACAGTTAATATTTCACACAACTCCTCGAATAAATCTGTGCATAACATTGTAGTTGTTGTAGCATAGCTATGGACGATAATGGGTGCGTCCCCATTCACATAAATACAGTAGTAAATACTGTATGTTGGTCTGCAGTTGGAGATTCATTGTGGAATTCACTTGACTCACTTTTAGCAGTTGACTGCTTCTTCTATGCGCTGCTGGCAAATCTTATATGTGTTGTTCTTGTCCTAAGTATTATTGTTCATTACCAACCTTCATTTGATTATTCTATTCAGTAACCTTCCTTGAGCCTTCCAGATTGGTTTCTACTTAAATTCTTAATCGCTTTGTTTTTTATGGGATTTATTTAGTCTTCTTCTTTTCATCCAGAAAATCAGCTTGTTGGTGTCAGACGAAGAGAAACAATTAGAGGAATTGGAAAAGGAAGTAGAGAAGTATGAGCAGGTTGCTAAGCAACTGAACAATCGGCCAAAATCTGGACAGTCACCTTTGTCTCAGGTCACCAGCCAAAATTCTGGGATACAAGATGAAGAAGCCAACCCAATTAAACAACACTCAAACAGAGAGTCGATGGGCACTGACAAAGAACGTCTCATAACAGGTTGGTACATTTTTTTTTTTTTTCCAGGGTAGATGCTGACAGAATCAAGTATAAGCCTAACCTATAGACTCAAGTATAATAAAAAAAATTAAAAAAAAAAGATTTTGACATTAAATAACCCAGCAGGTGTTGATATCTTGAAAAAACCATAATCAAATTTATTAATACAACCCAACTGTTAAATTGTAAAATTTATTCAATGTGTCATATTAACAGTTGTCAGTGTCAAATTCAACAACACATCAAAACCATTAAATTCTCAGATTTATTCAAATTGTCTAATTGATAATTGTCAAATTTATTCAGATTGTTCGGGTGCCTAATTCATCCACACAACCCAACTGTTAAATTGTCAAATTCATTCAAAGATACAAATTGACAATTGTCAAATTTATTTCAATTGTCAGTGTTAGATTCATCAGCACAGTTAAATTTATTCAAGTTGTCAAATTTATCAACACAACCCAACCGACTTTCATCATATCTTTTTTACATTGCATTAATCAAATTCTTTAAATTTGATTATTTTCTGCTTTTTGAAAATAATCCTATCCCCTTTATGAGCTAAGTGCAGTCTGATTGAATGTCAATGTTATCAACTTAAATGTAGTAAATATGTGTAACAAATACAAAAAAAAATTGTTAAAGATGTTAAAGGCCAGATAATAAAATTTCTAAAAGAAACAGTAATGTTTAAATTCCTTTAAAAATTTTTCATGTATGGATATATAAATATGACTGATTTGAACGATTCAAAAAGACAGATTCAGTCAGTCATGTGCAATGCATGGTACACCCTTACGCGATCATGTATCTTTCAATACATGACTGACGAGGCAGATTTCTTTTTCCTAGAATAGGTTTCTATTTCTTTCTGCCGTAGGCCAGTTGCCACCCAAGTTTATAGAACCCGGTCTGTCCTGCTATTTACCCATAGCTGGAGAGACAAGAAGAGGATTCATACCTTTCCCAAGGGTATTTGCATGTAAGTGAATATCAGTCAGTTATGTGCCATGCATGGTATACCCTTATGCAATCATGTATCTTTCAATACATGACTGACGAGGCAGATTTTTTAGTCCCACAGTCGGTCGCAATTTCTTTCTGCAGTAGGCCAGTTGCCATCCAAGGCTATTTATCCATAGCTTAGGGGAATAGAAGAGTATTCATACGTTTCCCAAGGGTATTAGCACATAAGTAAATGTTATGGATCTGACTGGAATTCAAACTCGGCTCTGTGATTCCTCAATCCGAGCCGCTATCTATTACTACCCTATGCCTCTCTATTAAATAATCTTTTCTGAGCCCCTTCATCTATTAGAAAAAAAGGTATATATATATATATATATATATATATATATATATATATATATATATATATATATTAGTGGTAAATACATACATATGCAAAATATATAAATACCCATACATGTATATTTTTTGAATAAAAATTCAAGAGGATAGAATCCAGGTAGAACTCAATGTCCAGGACAGAGTAAGGATATAATAAAAAGGCTTAAACACTAATATTCCATGGTCATAATTTATTCCATTGGAATCGTAAATATGATCCAATTCATCAGACCTACAAATTCAAAAAGAAAACAGAAAAAACAACTCCGGAAATAAAAAAAAATTTTTTTATATATATATATATATATATATATATAAAATTTAGAATTTATTTATTTTTTTATATATATATATATATATATATATATATATATATATATATATATATATAGAATTATTCACCTTGGCATAAAATCACCCATCAGGGTTAACACACCATTAAGAAAAATCTAACCAGTCGATCTTTGAGTCTGGTCTAAAATACTTCTGATCATGTTTTTATTGGCATGATTTAATGGCAAATAGTTTGGTTCTAGTCAAGCATCAGCATTGTCATCCTCTCTCCTTATTCCCAAAACACTTCAGTGGTGGAGGCAGAGATGGTTGTGAAGGCCTGAAGAGTCATGAGCAGGAGTCACAGAGGAGTGTGGGTGGCGAACACGACTGGGCAAGTCGGGACCTCCTGACAGTGCATCACAGATCTTCTTCTTGACAGTTGGTCTCAAAAAGTCTCATCTTTCCTTAGGACAATCCTACACCAAGAAGGCAGTGTCCTGGGTATGACAACAAACAACATCCAGCAAGGTATCTGATTGGGGGTTTGTGAGGAGCATGGAACTGCCTCTTAATTACTGTTGTTCCTAGATCCACCCTGACCTAAGGTGGTAGCACCTGTTAGAAGTAATAGGAGGTATGGTGGAGTAATGGATGTTGGCTTGGATCGAGGAATCAGAGAGCTGAGTTCGAATTTCAGTCAAAATCCATTACATTCACTTACATGCCCTTCGCAAAGGTGTGAATCCTCTTCTATAGGCAAATAGTGAACCCCCAAATGCTATGAAAGTATAAAAAAAAATTACATTTTCATAGTAAAAATACCAGCAATACATTTTTATATAAAAAAAATTACCAATGTTACATATTTATAATAAAATTACTAACAATACATTTTATAGCAAAATGACCAACAAATACATTTTATCTGCAGTTGAAGTCACAAAATTGTGTTCAAAATATTTAGATTTTGGCATTAAATAACCCATGGAGGTGTTGATATGCTGCTAAACAAAATCAACCAACCAACCAACCAACCAGGAAGTCCACTTTGCAGCAACAGTTTCCCAGCTCTCGGGTCAATGTTGGCCTGTGTCAGGGAGTTTGCTTCTAATGACTGTTTTAACACAGTACCAATGTTTTTTTTGTTTTTTGTTGGCATACATACATCAAGAATGAGATTCCTCAGAAACTAAATAGCATCACTGGAAGCAATTATCACAGCACAGCAATGAGTGGAGGACAAAATGAAGACAAGGTGCAAATTTCAGTAAGGGGATGTTAATTAACATTGTTTGATACTGAAAGCATTAATCTTTGTGTTTCTTCTTTTGCAGATTTCTTAAACAATACTGAAAGTGAACACAAAATCCAACTCGAAGTTCATTTAACTAAGAGCCAGCAAGGTAACAATCCGAGCGGACTGTTTGGTGGTGACAATTTCATGTCATCATCTTCATCAACGTCTCTAACACAGCCCACTCAAAACTCTGGGGAGAGTCTATTGCATCAACTTACTGATGAAGAAGACGCCAACCTTTCTGTACCTTTAAAACCCAGTTCGATCGCTACATGTAATAACAACGCTGTAAGCGGCAACAAGAAAAGCGGCATTGTCAGAGGGGATGGCAGCTCTCTGTCTGCAATGACAACAACCACATTTAACAGTGTTGGTGTTGTGGACCCTAAAAAACCAGCATTGGC